CATATCTATTCAAGGGACACCATCCTAGTATCTAACCACATCAGCCGCACCATCCAGAGCTCGTTCACCTGCACATCTACCAATATGGCATATGCCATCATGTGCCAGCAATGCCCCTCTGCCATGTACATTGGCCAAACCGGACAGTCTCTATGCAAAAGACTAAATGGACACAAATCTGACATCAGGAATCATAACATTCAAAAACCAGTAGAACACTTCAGTCTCCCTGGTCACTCAGTAACAGACCTAAAAGTGGCAATTCTTCAACAACAAAAAAACTTCAAAAACAGACTCCAACGTGAAACTGCAGAACTGGAATTAATTTGCAAACTGGACACCATTAGATTAGGCCTGAATAAAGACTGGGAGTGGTTGGGTCAAACCAAAACCTAAACCTAATTTCCCCAATACTAATTTCCCCCTACTGTTACTCACACCTTCTTGTCAACTGTTTAAAATAGGCCACTCTCATTACCACTTCAAAAGTTATTTTTCCTCTCTTGGTATCCTGTTGTTAATTTATTTGTCTTGTTAAACTGACCTCACACTTGGTAAGGCAACTCACATCTTTTCATGTATGTATATCTGCTCCTGTATTTTCCACTCCATGCATCTGATGAAATAGGTTCTAGCCCACGCAAGCTTTTGCCCAAATAAATTTGTTAGTCTCTAAGGTGCCACAAGGACTCCTCATTGTTTTTTCTTTCCTTTACTCATTCTTTTGGCTCTTCTCTGATCTCTCTCCGATTTATCAACATCCTTCTTGAATTGTGGGCACCAGAACTGAACACATTATTCCAGCAGCAGCCGTCCCAGTGCCAAATACAGAGGGAAAATAACCTCTCTACTCCTATTCAAGAGTCTCCTGTTTATGCATCCTGGGATTGCATTAACTTTTTTGGCCACAGTGTCACACTGAGAGCTCATGTTCAGTCAATCATCCACCATGACCCCCAAATCTTTTTCAGACTCACTGATTCCTAGGATAGAGTTGCCCCCCCCCCCACACACATATGACCTACATTCTTTGTTCCAGGAATATACATTCACATTTTCACATTTAGCTGTCTTAAAACATATTGTTTGCTTGCTCCCAGTTTACTAAGCGATCCATATCATTCTGAATCAGTGACCTATCCTCTTCATTATTTTCCTCTCCCCCAAATTTTGTGTCATCTGCACATTTTAGCAGTGATGATTTTATGTTTTCTTCCAGGTCATTGATAAACATTTTTAAGTAGCGTAGGACCAATAATCGATTCTTGAGGGATGCCACTGGAAACATACCCGCTCGATGATGATTCCCCGTTGAGACCTATTAGCCAGTTTTCAATCCATTTAATGTGTGCAATGTTAATTTTATATTGTTCTAGTTTTTTAATCAAAATATTGTGCGGTACCAAGTCAAATGCCTTGCAGAAGTCTATTACGTCAACACTATTACCTTTATCAATCAAACTTGTAAATATTTAAAAAAAAAAGATATCAAGTTTGTTTGACAGGCTCTATTTTCCATAAACCCATGTTGATTTGCATTAATTACATTGCCCTCCTCTATTTCTTTATTAATTAAGTCCCGAATCTGCCTGCCCATTATCTTGTCTGGGATCACTGTCAGGCTGACAGGCCTATAATTACCTGGGTCATCCCATTTATAATTTCTAAAAAGTGGCACATTAGCTTTCTTCCAGTCTTCTGGAACCTCCTCTGTGCTCTGAGACTTATTGAAAATCAAGGTTCAGCAAGCTCTTTCAGAACTCTTGGATGCAAGTTATCTGGACATGTTGATTTAAAAATGTTTAACCATAGTAGCTTCTGTGTAGCATCCTCCAGCAATACTGTTGGAATGTTCCCTGACCTCCCTTCCTCCTCCAACCACCTCCCAAACTCCATCCTGGATAGAATCCATCTATTACTCACTATCGCCTCTTAAAATGTCCCTTTCTCTATTGACCTCTTCTTGGCCAAATCTCATGGTCTCTGCTCTAGCCTCAATCTCCTTGATCCTTCTGCTGATTCTCACACTTTCGATCACCATCTCTAACTTGTGCCCTTTCCGGGTTTTTGTGATACTGTCTTTGGGTGATTGCATCTACCCATTGTTTCATCTACCCTATCCATGGTGATGACTCTCAGATCTACCTGTCCACTCCTGAATTGCCTCCTTTCACCCTGTTGTGCATCTCCCCATTCTCTGTCCCTGTTGACAACATCACAGTATCCTCCTTGTCTATCAAGCCTGTAACCTGGAAAGCATGTTAAACTTTTCCCTTTCCCTTGACCATGCACGAAACCATATCCAAATCCTGTCTCATCATTAAGATATAACCTTTTTTATCTGTCTCTTCAACTAAAACTCTTACTCAAGTCCTTATTATTTCATATCTTCACTACTGCAATTTTCTCCCCGGTCCTCCCTGATGCCCACATTGTCTTACTTCAGACCATACAAAATGATCATTAAGGTCCCTGCTCCTTGTTCTGATGACCCTACCTCCCTTTTTGAATCCTTCCACCATCTACTCCTCCACTGTATCAAGTTCAAGCTTCAAAGACCTGAATAGTTCTACCCCTCCCTGTTTATCATCCACCATGCACTGGTGTCGTTTTCTGTCACTTTGTGTCTCCTACCATCCTGGTATATCAATGTTGCCTGCCTTGATGCACTGTTTTTCTGCTTCACCAAACTTCTCTAAGAGTTCTTGAGTGCTGCTCCCTACACATGGAATGCCCTTTCTGAGCTGATCTACAAAGCTACCCTTCCTCTCCTCATTCAAATCCATTCTAAAGATCCATCTGAACCATTAAATGTATGAACTACTGTAATGGCATGTTGGGGTTTGTGTGCCTTAATATACAGAGATAGACTGATATGTTTATTAGCCTTGTCTCTAGGTATCTTTATCAAAAACCTTATTATGCCATATCTCTTTGCATTATTGGGATGTGGCCAATGATCACTTGGCCATCTTGTTTGTTGTTCTCTTCTCCCCTGCTCTCCACCTCACTCTGTATGTTCTCTTTTCAAGAATGTGAACTTTACAAGGCAAGCGTTATTTTTGTTTGGAAAGCAGTTTGGGAGCATCCTAGAAACAACACTGGGGATAGTTCATCTTTTACTAGCACTAAATAGGACTGGTCAAAAATTTTCCAGCAAAGATTTTTTTTACAAGAAAAGGCTTTTTTGGTTGCAGTGAAAATTTCATTGAAAATGTCTGTATTTTCATTCATCCAGCACATCGCTCGCCCGCACTGCTTCTCACCGCCCCCATTGGCCCGGGATGGCGAACCGCGGCCAGCGGGGGCCGCGATCGGCTGAACCTGCCGCGTCAGCAGGTAAATAAAACTGGCCCGGCCCGCCAGGGTGCTTACCCTGGCGAGCTGTGTGCCAAACGTTGCTGACCCCTGCCATATCCACTCGATCACCCTTGTCCACATGTTTTTTTGACCGCCCTCAAAGAATACTAATAGATTAGCGAGACATGATTTCTCTTTACAAAATCCATGTTGACTCTTCCCTAACAAATCATGTTAATCTATGTGTTTGCTAATTCTGCTCTTTACTATAATTTCAACCAATGTGCCTAGTTGTGTACTGTAGTTAGTCTGTAATTGCCATGATTACCTCTGGAGCATTTTTTAAAAATTGGTATTACAATTCAATACAAATAAGTGCAAAGTACTTCACTTAGGAAGGAGAAATCAAATGCACAACTACAAAATGGGGACTAAGTTGCTAGGTGGTGGTGGGGTTGAAAAGGATTTGGGAGTTATAATGGATCACAAATTGAACACGAGTCAACAATATGATGCAGTTGTGAAAAAAGTTAATATCATTTTGGGGTGTATTAACAGGAGTGTCATATGTAAGATGTAGGAGATAATTGTCCTGCTGTTCTTGGCACTGGTGAGACTTCAGTTGGTATACTGTGTTCAATTCTGGGCACCACACTTTAGGAAAGATGTGAACAACCTGGAGAGAGTCCAGAGGAGAGCAACAAAAATGATTAAAGGTTTAGAAAATCTGACGTAGGAGGAAAGGTTAAAAAAAGGCCATGTTTAGTATAGCTAAAAGAAGACTGAGGGGGGACCTGATAATAGTCTTCAAACATATTAAAGGTTGTTATAAAGAAGACTGTGGTCAATTCTTCTCCATGTCCACTGAAAGTAGGACAAGAAGTAACGGCATTAGTCCTGCAGCAAGGGAGATTTAAGTTAGATATTAGGAAAAACTTTCTAACTATAAGGGCAGTTAAGTTCTGGAAAAGATTCCAAGGGAGGTTGTGGAATTCCCATCATTAGAGGTTTGTAAAAACAGGTTAGACAAACACCTGTCAGGGTGGTCTAGGTTTACTTTGTCCTGCCTCAGTTCAGGGGCAGGACATGACTTCTCAAGGTCCCTTCCAGCCGCCCTACATTGCTATGATTCTGTATCCTTTTTGAAAAACCTAGAATATGTTGTCTGAAAGAAGCTCACTTCAGTAACTTTTAATCACATGAGTTTGCAGAACCAGGCCTCTACTTTCAGGAACTCCTTACTGTTTATTCTCAGTGACATTGCCATCAAATGTCCAAATCTTTGTCCCACTAAAGTCAGGACTCCCATTCACTTCAGTTGGGCCAGGATTTGGCCAAAAATTAGAGAGGCTATCACATAATTATTAGATCAGTAAATAATTGTGGTGTTTATTGTACTAACTTAGGGTCAGATTTTTCCACTGTTACTCCCTTTGAGTGGCACCTTACTTTGTGAATAAACTAAATGAAATTGATAGGTGTATGTACTATTCAGTGGCAAAACTGGATTCTTAATTTTCTATTTTTATTTTTTCTTAGTCAAATTCTATGATGTCCTAATCTAAAAAACATACAAGATGATTTCTTGTTTATAAGGGGTCTCAAACTACTCAATACAAATTTCAGTTTTTATGGATCAGATATTAATTTGCAGTGTGAACAAAGTAATATGTGTTTTCAATAAATTCACTATTTTTCACTTTTTCTATGTCTGCTTTATTTTATTTTTTTTATTTTGTCTTCTGTGAAAAATTGAAAAATGTTTATCTCGCAGCTGTTCCCCAGAAATCTATCAGGAACACATTAAAGCTATTCTAGAAAGATGTTATCTATTCTTTTTAGATAACATTTGTTGAACTACATGCTACCATTCTGAATAATATAGAAATTACACTAGGAGTGACCTGTCTGCCACAGAAAACGTTTAAAAAACAGTTGATTTCAAAGCTCTAAGTTGAGTTAGGGTGCTTTTCTAAGCCAGCACTTTCTCAAAGTGGTAGCATGCTGTGCTACCAGCCGGAGACCTGAGTTCAGAAGCACACTCTGGATTCAACTCCAAACCCAGCTGAAGCTAGGGACTGTTCAAAGCTGATGTGTTAATGCTCTAAAGGTTGAGCTTACCAGGTGCTTTGTGTCAGAGGGTATAAAGTTTGCTTTTAAAAATGTATCCAGTTTTGTTTAATGCTCAGAGTTCCTCAATCACCCTCCTATTTGGAGTCAGTCTTATGGGCAGGACTGTTTGGTAAAAAGATGTTGGGAAAAAATTATCATATTTGGAATTATTTTTTTATAAAAAAAATGCTGCTTACACAACTTTTCATTGTGAAGGAGGCTGCAGTTTCAGTCCTGATCCTCAAAGTAAATGTACTATAGCGATGCCTTATACAACCACATTAGTATTTATGATCCTATAATATTTGATATATTTTCAACATAAAATCATGTGACATAAGGGCCCCATTCTCCTCTACATGAGAATAACCCATAGAGGGGACAGGAAATTCTGTGAGTTGAAATTCTTCAGGATTTCCTATTAATTGGTTTCCTGGATATCTTTCTCTTTTACCCTCCCCTCCACTGGGGTGGAGGAAGACAGTGGGGTTTGTGATATAACCACTGATTCTTCTTCGAGTGCTGTCCCTGTGGGTGCTCCACTTCCGGTGTTGGTAAGTCCTGGTGCCGTCAATTGGAGATTTATAGTAGCACTGTCCATGCGGGTCGCGTGTGCGCAGTAGGTGTCTCTAGGTGCCATTGGTGCTGCATCTAGCGCGCACACGACCCGAGCCCTCCAGTTGAGAAGGAACGTGGCTGAAGATGGAGCTCAGGGGCAGTGCTCGTCATTCTCACAATACCTTTAAAAATAGCAGTTTAAATAGTTAGTCTTTTAAAAGTTATAGTTAGTATTAGTTGGTGATAGTTTTAGTTAAAAATAAAAAGTTTACTTTCCCAGTTTACCCTTCCTGCATCGGGTTCGGTTAACCATCAGAGATGCCTGGCTCTCCAGGCATTAAGCAATGCAGCTCTTGCCGTGAAGCAATGCCTGTTTCGGACAGACACTCTTTGTGTGTCCGATGTCTTGGGAGATGCATAACCCGCAAAAATGCACCCACTGCAATAATCTGAGAGCGAGAGCCTGGTGTGATCGAGATCTCCGCTTGAAAATGATACTGATGGAGAAATCTCTCCAACCAGAGCCAGACCAATGGACCTCCTCTCTGGGTATCCCCCTGCAGGGACAGGAGACATGCCTTCCTTTAGAAGATCAAGGAAGAAGGTGCAGACATCTCCACAGAAAACACCGCAGAAACATAGGCAGTCTCCTGCCAGGTTGTTACTCCTGATGCCGACACATGCTCGGGTGAGCATCTATGATGCTCTGGGCACTTCCAGCACTGCCGAGTCCTGAGCGAAGGAGATGGAGTCAAGGCACAGACGACAAAATGCCTCCTCCACGGCACCCAATTCATCCATAAGGGACCCGGTACCGAGTGTCTCCTCAGGCACCATGCCTCCACCCCAGCATGGACATTGCAGTTGGCACCGGCTGATAAAACCAAGTTGGCACCAACCACACCGACTAAATCAACACCACATTGGATGGCACCGACATTGGTACTGACAAGAGCGCCCTCATTGGCACCGACATCAGAAGTGCCACAGAATCTACTGCAACAGAGAGACTTGGCTCTTTCATCGGCACCCCAGGCCCTACTATTCGGTACTGAGGCCTCTAAATTAGAGGTGATCCCCATACTTCTCATGGCATGGTACACTCGTCCAGTGGTGGTGATGATGATGTGCAGGAACCATTCACTTTCTCATTGCACCACTCATCACCAAAAGACTGACAACCACCCTGGAGCCAGATGGGTCCTAAATACCCTTATAACCAGCTGGCTCACCTGTGGTATGGTCTACCCTGGATGTATCCACCGATGGCCTTCCCAAGGCAATGGGCACGTTGGGAACCCTGGGCAACTTACCTGGGCCCCCAGACCAGGCCACCCACGGCTCACAGAGCAGAGGTCTAATCCCTCGTCTCCCACCCTGCAGGCTCAGGCTGTTGGGGATGACACAGAAACAGTCATTGATTAGGAAGTGACATCTCCTGCTCACAATTCTTCCTTGTCCCCAGATAAAGCAATCATGCACCGTCGCCTACCTCGGCAGTTCCAGGAGCTGTTTAAATGGATCACCCAAAGCCAGGACATCTCGTTGAAATGCAGACAAACCAACACAAGCTGGTACAAATCTTACAACCTGCATCTACTTCCAAAATCCCCCTGCCTATCAATGATGTGATTTAGAACCAGCAGAGAGAGTCTGGCAGATATCAGCCTCAATTCCGCCGACATGCAAAAGTGCAGATAGAAAGTATTACGTTCCCCCCAAAGGGGTGGACTTCCTCTTCTTGCACCCGCCTCCCAACTCCTTGGTGGTCGACGCTGCCAACCAATGTGACAAACTAGACCCCCACAAGACAATCAATCGACCCCCACAAGACAAAAAAAACCAAGAAGGCTTGACCTCTTCAGACAAAAAATGTACTCCTTGACGACATTACAATTCTGAGTCACCAAGTATTTGGCCTTGCCGGCCAAATACGATTATGATATTTATGGGAAACTCAGCTCATTCACAGCGAAGCTCCCAAGGAGAAACAATCACAATTCCAGGCAATTGTAAATGAGGGTCAACTCATAGCTAAAACAACCCTCCAAGTGTCTTTGGATGTCATGGACACGGCAGCCAGAACCACGGTCATGGCTGTAATCATGCACTGGGGATCCTTCCTGGTTATAATCCTCTGGCATACCTAAAGAGCTCCAAAACAAGGTCGAGGACTCACCTTTCAACTGACAGAAGCTATTTTTGAACACGACAGATGAGGTGCTCCTCTCAGTGAAGGATTCTCAAGCCACTCTTCACTCTTTGGGGATCTATACTCCAGCTGCAAAGAGAAGATGATACCAGCCTTATCAGAGGAAAAGGGATTCCTCTTCTAACCGACAGCAACAACAATGGCAATACGAAAACCAAAGACATCGCCAACAGTTGCAGTGATGGAGAGCACCTCAAGCTCAACCATCGACTTCTCAATTGGCTCCACCCAAGCCACAATTTTGGAGTTTTGGTCCAGGGTCTGGACAACCTCCCACACCAGGCAGCACTTTCACCTGATCTGTCCCCATGCTTTGGACACCGTCTTCACCCATTCTACCACTTCTGGTGTCAATAACAACAGACATTGTACAATCAGGATATACCATCCCCTTTACCTCCCGATCACCTACCCTCCCCCCTCCCCATCCCTCTTCAGAGACCCTTCTCATGAGCACCTGTTACGACAAGAAGTTGATCATCTTCTACAACTAGATGCTGTAGAATGAGTACCTTCGCAATACGGGGGGAAGGGGGTTCTACTCCCACTAATTCTTGACACAGAAGAAGAATGGGGGATGGAGACCTATCTTGGATCTCAGGAAACTCAACAAGTTTGTATGCCACTCAAAAGTTCAAAATGGTTGTACTGGGCATGATACTCTTTTATCTTCCCCTCCACGGAGCCGGAGGAAGACAGTGGGGTTTGTGATATAACCATTGAGTCTGTCAGAACTGCTGGCATGCTGCTGACTATATCCGTCCCACTGCAGTGTGTCTGGTGAAGATGCTCCATGCCAACAGCAGAGAGCTCTCTAGTCGGCACAATAAAACTACCTCTTGAATGGTGGTAGCTACGTCGGTGGGAGAAGATCTCCCACCAACATTGCACTGTCCACATCAGCGCTTATGTCGGTGTAATTTATGTCACTCAAGTGGGTGGTTTATTCACTCCCCGCCCCCGCTCCCCCAAGCGACATAAGTAATGCCAACATAAGCTGTAGTGTAAACATAGGCTTAGACTGTAAACTCTTTGGGGTGGATATTGTCTTTTTGTTGTGTTTGAACAGCGCCTAGCACAATGGGTTCCTGATCCATGACTGAGACTTCTAGGCACTATGATAATAGAAGTAATAAATAATAATATAATGTGTGACAAAACCCAAAAGGAGGGACATAGAAAAATTATTCATGCAGGAAACTTAAAATGCTGTGTGAGTCATTGATTTAGTGTACATAACTCTTACATGAACTTAATTTAATGATTCTGCATTTCTGAAGTAATTTTCAACAATAGAAGTTAAGGGGCCCCAAATATGTATGGAATGTGGGCAGCTTGGGGACTAAAATGAATATCTGGGATTTTGGCATTGGTTCCCCCTCCTCTCCCCTAACCCCCCCGGTCTCAGGTGAGGCAAACTTCTTCAGGTAAATAGCTTTTGCCCAGAAACCTGCTGCATACCTTTGTAAAGGTTCTTTTGAGTCATTTGTTTCCTGGTTCCAACGTGAGTCCTTCAGTTCTGTGCGCCTACCTGAGGTTTGCATGGCTTAAAAATTGAGTTTAAGGCAGCACTGTAGCAGATGCCCTAGATGCAGGGCCAAGTCAGTTTTTAGATTTGTTTGTTGTGTGGAATACCTGGCTTTCCTAAATAAGAATACAACATTCAGCATTTGTTTTTGTTGTTGTGAGAGTGAGGTAACAGAGCTGGTTGCATGTGAAGTCTTACTTGTGTGCTGGCTACATATATGCAAACTTGCAAGAGTGAAAACCTATAGCTGCTTTGAAACAAAGTGAAGGTTTTATAAATTTGATATTTTTGAGCTTTTTCAGATTAATAAAGGAGCTTTTCAGATTAATAAAGAAGCTACATTCAGCCCTGTTTATATCCTCCATCCATAAATCCCCACACTTAAGTTTCTTTGATAATGGAAATAAAAGGGTGAGAAAACTAAAAAAAATAATAAAAGAATCATCAGGTCTGACTTTAATTAATGCCTCTACCTTACTCTTTGAAACACTTGAGAGACATAATAAGATAAAATAGAGAAATAAGTTCCTAAACAATGTGGTCAGCAGTAACACAGCTATATAAATAACCACTATATGAAAACTCACAAAAATCAAATATCATTTTTATGTTCTCCACTTCTATTAATTATATTCAACTTAAAAACTATATTAAAATTACATTTCTCACTGAAATATAATATAGAAATCCACTGCCAGACATCTAACAATCAGCAGGCAAAATACTCATCTGGGCCCTATTGAACCTATAATATAGAAGAAAAACAATGAGGAGTCCTTGTGGCACCTTAGAGACTAACAAATTTATTTGGGCATAAGCTTTCGTGGGCTAGAACCCACTTCATCAGAAGCTGTGAGTAACAGTAGGGAGAAATATCCTGAAGGACGATCCCTCACTCTCACAGACCTTGGGAGACAGGCCAGTCCTCGCCTACAGACAGCCCCACAACCTGAAGCAAATACTCACCAGCAACTACACACCACACAGTAAAAACACCAACCCAGGAACCAAACCCTGCTACGAACCCCGGTGCCAACTCTGTCCACATATCTATTCAGTGGACACCATCCTAGGACCTAACCACATCAGCCACACCACCAGGGGCTTGTTCACCTGCACATCTACCAATATGACATATGCCATCATGTGCCAGCAATGCCCCTCTGCCATATACATTGGCCACACCGGACAGTCTCTACGCAAAAGACTAAATGGACACAAATCTGACATCAGGAATCATAACATTGAAAAACCAGTAGGAGAACACTTCAGTCTCCCTGGTCACTCAATAACAGACCTAAAAGTGGCAATTCTTCAACAAAAAAACTTCAAAAACAGACTCCAACGTGAAACTGCAGAACTGGAATTAATTTGCAAACTGGATACCATCAGATTAGGCCTGTATAAAGACTGGGT